GAAATTAAATATGGTCAAATTTTGTAACGTTGCATATGTGCAACATAACACCTATTATATAATGGGTGTTTTCGCGGTGATAATCCTGAACTAGTTCGGAATTAGCTCCGCGAAAACAGATACTATTTGAGGAGGTCCATTCCAAAACTCGGCTTGTCCACTTTTTAATAAACATGAGTTAGTGGTGTCTGTACATTTAACATGTATCCCCCTATACTCTGAAAAGTTCATAATATTCTAAAACTAACCTTATTCCATTTAAAATTAATTTACAAATTGACTATCGTTCCAAAACATCTCTTTTCTATTGGTTATATCATGCAGAACTCGGCATACCTATACGTATGTAATTTTAAATTATTTTAAACTGGAGCTATAGCTAAAGGTATATACTTATACCTTTTTAATCAAGGTATATAAATGCCTTCCCGGTCACTTTCCCGAATGCAATTTCCCGACTGACCAATTTCCCGATAGACCATTTTCCCGACACACCATTTTCCCGACGACGTTTTTCCCGACAGCACTCTTCCCGACAGACTATGTTCACGACAAAAATCTTATTATCCAGTTAAGAAACGTTTTTCCCGATAGCCCTTTTCCCGAAAGATTATGTTCACGACAAAAGTTTTATTATCTAGTAAAAAAATCAATCAAAACATACCTGGTCAAAAAGTTTATTTATTAAAAATTGACAAAAATTAACAATAGGTACACAAAAATTTAATTTATTTCTAAATAACGATGGTGTGCGCCAGGGCGCGTAAGTACTCTAAATTACAGGTCTCGTATTGAGAAACAATTCTCTGAATCCGAGTTTGTAATGTTAACCACTTTGTTTTTGGCGCAGCCTTGACAGTTCGGCCAAGACTTAATTCAGTTAAAATGATTTCGGTATCCGCTTGTTTCTTCTGGAATTCTGTAAGGGCCAATGGGGCGGGGTAGGTTGGGTGGGGTTGTTGGGTTTGGGTTGGTTTCGAAGCGGGCGGACTCGGGACGTTGGTTAAGGAAAAAAGATCTGCTTCCCGTCCTAAGATTGCGTCATTGGATGACGTCACTCTGTTAAATTATATTGTGTCGTTTGTGGTAAAAGTTATTTGTCTTAAAAATGACTTGTCGGTAAAATAGCTTGTCAGGAAAATGGCTTGTCGGGAAAACGACTTTCGGGAAAATGACTTTCGGGAAAATGGTGTCGGGAAAAATCTTGTCGGGAAAATGGTGTGTCGGGAAAATGGTCTGTCGGGAAAATGACTTTCGGAAAAGTGACCGGGAATCATATAAATGTTTTACTTATGCCTTTATATTTCGTTTAAAGTATTGTGTTTGCCTGATATGCGTTAGTACTCACGTGTAAGGTTTTTGACATTTTGTTCGAAAACAACTAATATGGATAAGCCGAGTTTTGGAATGCACCTCCTCATTTATATGTTGATATTTTGTTGGGTCCCCCTGTACAATATTTGTTTTTGGGGATTTTGTTTGATCAATTTTTTTTTTTGTATAAATAAGCGGGAACCGCATAATACAAATTTTAAGCAAATGGTTTCTATAAATTTCAATCAAAATTTGGGTCAGCTGTGCTTCAAGTGTTATTGGTTATTTTTAGAACTAGCTATTACTGGTATTGTGTATAATGTATATTTACAGTTTATTAGCTTTTGTAAAGCAATATGTGGTAGAATAAACAATTTATTAAAAATATTAATTAATTTTATTTTGATATAGTTTCCTTTGAACTCTTCTGTCACATTTTAAATTTGACACTTGTGACGCATTGTTACAACAATTTTTAGAACTAGCTATTACAGGTATTGTGTATAATGTATATTTACAGTTTATTAGCTTTTGTACTGCAATATATGGTAGAATAAACAATTTATTAAAAATATTAATTAATTTTATTTTGATCTAGTTTCCTTTGAAATCTTCTGTCACATTTTAAATTTGACAATTGTGACGCATCATGATACAAAGATTTTGACGCATTGTGTTCTGTGTGTGACGCATTGTTACAACAATAATTAATTGTAAACAATTTCCATTATAATTAAACTCGTAGAGTTTAGAGAATAAACTGGTTTAAATTTATAAAAATGAGTAAGGAACAACTGGATAAGGAATTTGTCAACGCTATGATATTAATAGAAATGAACGAAGACGAGGATGATTATTCTGAATATTTAGGAATTTATGAATATTATTGCAAGGTAGAAAAAGAACTAAAATACAATTACAATGTTTTGGCAAAGCTCAGTATGGAAAATGCTAATACTTTAACAATCTTAAAGGAAATTACTTTACTGTTTTCTTCAATAAAGGATTTGATGACAAGAAATTGTAAAAATTCCGAATAAGTTTCATTAAATAATTTTGAAAAATTAAATTGTATTTGAATATGGTTAATTAAAAACAAAATAGGTACCTACCTATAACTTAAAATAATTGTGTTTTTTTATATTTGAATAAAAATAAGGCCGACTTTGTAAAAATAACTTTATTAACCTTATTAAAACAAATTTTAAATAAAGTATTATTTGTAATAGGGATATACCTACCTATAGGTATGTATTTAAATACAGCTATGGTATGTATTAATAAGATTTAGAAATACCAACAATATTTTTCCAGGTTGACTGTCATGTGCTCCAATATTGTGCACTGCACAGAACATAAGGTACACAGTGTCTAATTATATTTTTATTTTTCTACATGCAGCGGCAAAATATAGTTTTTGGAGCAAATTTTTTTAAATTTTATCTAAAAATATCGGGCTTTAGTCATACGCCATTTAATTGCATGCTGTGCACCAAATAAAATGAAAAAGACAGCCTAGCAATCAACCTGTTAAAATCCTTATTTAAGCCAAATTGACAGTGCAGCCAACTGTCAAATGTAAATAATTAATTGATTTTTTTACTATTAATAGTAAAAAAATCAATTAAATTTCTTGTGCCATTGTTTTTAGAGGTTGGGTTAACCTAATCTAACCTTTTAAAACAATTCCACCAGCAATCCGTTTCCTAGGTGAATCGCAAGAGGATAGATACGATTGCGTTTTTAGTAAGGGGCTGTCCTCAAATCTCGTGGTCTTTACATCGTCACATTCGGCCACGAGGAGGGTATCAATGTTGATCATTTTTAGCGTCAAAATGGTCCAAATTACCCCCTCCCCCTCGTGACAGAATGTGACGATGTAAAGATCGAACGGGGATACCCACTAAAAATATTTCCGATTTTTTTTATAATCTAAATAAAATTTAAATATTAATTTTTGTTTAAAATATTAATAAAAGCTGTTTAAGACTTTTAATTATCCTGTGTTACTTCAAGATCAAGTTTTTGAAAATATTACATTTAGAACTAAGTTTATACGAGTTCATATCGTCCCAATTATCACATAAGGGGGTTTCTCATATTTAACAACTTTACAGCTTTTAAAGATTAAAAGTTTTTAGTTAATTAAATTTGTTCTTGAAATAGTACATTTAAAAAAAAATTGGCTAAAAACTTTAAAAAGCTGTCAAATTGTTAAATATGAGATACAACTTAATGTGATAATTAGGGGTTAACCCTATTAAGTGCCGCCGCATAATATGCAATCAAATGAGCGCAGTGAGATCTGTAAGCAAAATCTTAATTGCGCATGCGTTAGGGTTGTCAGATTTTGTCATATTGTGAGAAATAGAAATAGTGATGCCAGATCGTTTTTTTTTTATTATTTCAGAATATGTATTAAAAATCAGTAGATTTTGGATTCATCATAAATGGTTAAAATATTCTAAAAAAAATCTGAAATTTTTATAATAAATGTGAAAAATTCTATAAGAACATTGAGTTGTTAAAAAATATTAATATTAAAAAATAGGTGTAAAAAATTAAATTTAATTAATACAATAAATTAAATATATGGGCGTTTCTCTGTAAACTGGGCAACTCATTGTCTCAAGCTAATATTGTTTAGAAAAATAACAGATCATAAATATTTCGTAGATAACTTCAAAAGATAATAACCTAATCTACCTATGCTCGACGTTCAAAATCCAATAAAATAAACTTTAATGTATCAAAATCGTTTTTATAGTCCTTAAAAACCAGTCCCCTGACGTGTCACCAAAGCAAAATGGTCACTTCAGACTAAATTAATTAAAGACAGTAACTATTGGAATCAACCTAATTGTTTAATTATTCAACCAATATTGTTTGCTTGTTACTGTGACTTATTTATTTTTTATAATTATTATTTTGTAATTCTAAAAAAGTCATCTAAACTTTGTCTCCGGATTTTATAAACAGTCCCCTGTATAGATTTTTCAGAAAATGCTCAATGTTTTCCAAAGTAATAGGAATATTTTTTGGTAGATCTGCCATATACTAATAAATAGACCGATATTTATTCCTCGAATAACATTTATTAAATACAACAAAAATATAACAAAAAAACTTGCCTAGACAATTTCTTACTTCAAGTTGCCCAGTTTACAGAGAAACGCCCATATTTATATATTTTGACCATTTTTAGCGTCACGAGATTTATGGACGGACCCTTAGCTGAAACATTTCTCATGCAATAATAAAAGTTATGAAAATAATTTAACTTTAGGGTTGACATGGTTAAAAGTGTATTTTATGACAGTTTGAAGAAAAAAATCAAAACTTTATATGTATACTTATAACTTTGTTCTTATTTCTTATTTAACTATTTTAATCCATTAGCTGCGTAAAAATATACATAGTATTTGACAAAAAATTACAAGTTGACAGCACTGGACATAAGATTTTTTTAATGGCAAAAAAACGAAAATATTTGTTTCAACTAAAATTCGAACTTTTCTTTTTTTTTGATTCATCAAATAACTTAAAAATTTATCATAAAATATATATACAGTGCAAAACCCAAATTTAAAATGCTGTTACTAATTTTAAGACAATTGTGATTTTAGTATTGCAATTTATGGGATATGAAATAATTAACAGCAAGAAATCAATTTTTATGGCTTGTTGCCTTTTTTATAGTCAATTATTTAATAAATTGTTTAAAAAATACAACAAAGAATTTGTAATTGCTACAAACCCACAAACTAAATAAGATTGGTAGACATAAAAATGATTATAAAATTTAATTTCAATACTGTACACATTTTACATAGTTCTAATTTAAAACCTTAAATGGGGCTTAAATTGCAAAATATGTCTGTCTAATTTTTCCCAAATCACCATAAGGGCAGCTCTGTCTAAATGTCTCTTAGTCCTGGATAATTGGATCACAGTTACAGCCCATTTTTCAACATTTGGATCAATTTTCATTTCATCATATTTTATGTGGAAAGCAGCAACTAAAAAGTAAAGATATAGGTGAGTATATAAGACATTCAGTGTTAATTCTTCGATATTCTGTTAGGATTTTGTTTTAATATCTTAACATTTTCATCTGAAATAGCCATTTTGTTTTAAATTCGAAGCGACATCGAAGAAGTAGAAGAACATTTTTAAAATAAAAATAAAATACAACAATGTTATCATCTAATAGTAGCAAAAATGACACAAGACGGTAAAAACGTAGGAAAAATCCAGAACGATGAGAAATTAATAATAGAAAGTTTGCATGGTGGTGAGTTTTATATGTCAACATCTGGAAAAACTGTCAAAGAAAATAGAACTGGACCACCATGTAACAATGTTACATTGTAACATCCTGGCCAAACACTAATATGGATGATGATGCCGGTATTCAAAATTGATTATTTAATATTTTTGTTCAATAAAAATGTTTATTTTGTTCAATAAAATGCTTTTTGATCAATAAAAATACTTTACCTCAACGTAATGTTTTATTTTTCTCAATTCTGAAACAAAATTAATGAGTGTCTAGAAAAGTTTATAAACGAGTTGCATACTATACTCTTTCTACGAGAAATACTTATATCTTATAATGATTTAAATTAAATATTTGTATAGAGCGCCATCTATAAAACAATGGGGGAATCTGTGTTAGGTACCGCCAAATGTCAAATTTTTATGTGTTATAAAGGTTATGAATCGAAATTTATTCCTTCAAAATCGATGAACAACAGTTCTTCACAGTTAAAGTAAAGAAAATGTTTTATGAGCACTTCACGGTGGAGTCCGAGCACGAATTTAAGTCATATCCAGTTTACTTCCGGCGAAATTAAAAGGTCAGTACAATGTTCATATCAACTTTTCAAATATTGGCGTTGAGAAACTATTTAAAGCTTTTGTATTTTTGCATTGCGATAATAAAATAATTTTCACCTAACTTAAAGCTAACTTCAGCCTTTGACTAAAATGTTGCTAACTTTAGCCCGTGACTAAAACGCCATAAAGCCACAACTTGCCAATGTGTATTTAAAAGGTTATTTAGTGCCATGGAACCATCTAGTCTGTTAAAAACCCGTTTGGACATATCAAAAAATTTGATTACTGTCAGATGTACATACCTAACATCACTTACTACTTTTAATAATTATTATAATAATTGTATGGTTTTTGTAACAAATAAAATTGTGCCTAGAAGATCAACATTGTATGGCATTTGGCTGAGTGCTTTTAGTGCTTCGCTTCTGCTACGCGTCGGCCTTCAAACTTTAAGCTGAGCACAAAAAAGCGAATAGAGATAACGGTTCGGAAAAAAATAAAAAAACCCGAAAATAAAAAATTATCAAATTAAAATAGGAAACCTGAACATTAATATAATAATATAATCATATTAATATTTTGATAAGAACAATTATTTTACGTCAATGACGTGTTGGCGCGGCAATGTAATATTCCAGCGATTTCAGTAAATCCCCGAAAATATCAATTTAGTTATTGTTAACTAACTTAACAACACCCAATGCAAAAATATATTTATATAATTTTCATTCATACAGCACATTATAACATTTAATCCGTGCCAATTCGTCAGTCACTAATGATGGTATATATTTTTTCTTGAGAAAAAACGGTTTTTTTAAACAAATTCTTTTTTCCGGGAAGCTCTAAATCTCTAGAAGGGCCATTCCACGCTTAACGGATAGGACAGTTGCCGTGTTTTTATTTACAAAATAATATTGTTCTATTATATTACCAATGTCAAATTTTTATAAATAGTTCTAAACAAAAGCTGTTTAACAAGGTTTTTATTTGGTAAAATTAGGTATCGTGATTGACTGTTTAATTCCTTAAAAATTAATAATTTAAAGCGTAACGGACGGGACTATTACAAAGTCCCGTCCGTTACGCTTTAAATTATTAGTTTTTAAGGAATTAAACAGTCAACCACGATACCTAATTTTGCCAAATAAAATCCTTGTTAAACAGCTTTAGTTTAGAACTATTTATAAAAATTTGAAATTGGTAATATAATAGAACAATATTATTTTGTAAATAAAAACACGGCAACTGTCCTATCCGTTACGTTAGGAAATTATTATTTTTAAAATCAAATCAATAATTGATTTGATTTTAAAAATAATAATTTCCTTCTGAGCCATTCCACGCGTAACGGATAGGACAGTTTAATTATTATTTCATTGAAATATTTTAATAATTAATTATTGATTACTGGTAAATTTTAAAAAATGTTTTGTTGAATTTTCATTTTCCACTGAATTCCCACAATTTTAATAATTATGCAATTATGGCTATTTTTTTTTAAAACGTATCAATCTTTATACTTACTTTTATCAAAAATTTCGACGGGTGTTTCCCATGGGTATCCTTTAAACTGCCACGCCGGTCCCATCACAAACACTGCCACCACCCTGTCCCAATCGCTGGGACTCAATTTTGCCGGATTATCCACGACCCTGTACGGAACAGTCTGCCCATTTCTTTGTCTTTGTATTAAAACCTCATTGTCCCTCTTGCCACCCTGCATTTTCTTTTCCTCTTGCGTTACAAACCTCAGGTCTTGCAAAACATCTTTCACATTGTACATCGATATCAGAGAATTTGTACCAGCAGGTATGATAATGATGGGCGTGCGTGATACTCGTTTTTGCATGCCACCAGGAGGTGGTCTTGCCGCCGTTACAGGCAATGGGGCCTGCATTTGTGGCGGATGTGATTTCAATTTTGCGGAACCTTCCGTCACTGATTTCAAGGTCATGCCGTGGTAGGTACCCATAGTATCAATATTAAATCCTTCAGTCTCTGTTAAAAATTAAATTAAATTAAAAATCTAAAAGTATACTTAAAATCGAGTAACGGTTAAAAATCATATGGGATTAAAAGAGGTGTCCCGAAAATGGCGCACTAGCAGGATTAAAAAGGATTAAAAAAAATAAATTAAAGTGGGCAAATTATAAAAAAATTAAAAAAAAACAATTGGATAACAATGCCTTCAATCAGGGTTAAACCGATATATCGTCGATAAATACCATGATATTTGAGGAAGCCCATTCCAAAACTCGGCTTATCCACTTTTTAATAAAAATGAGTTAGTGGTGTCTGTACATTTCTGCCTTACTTTGGTTAATGATAACATTTTAAATGCGAATATTTCAGAAACGGCTAGGTATATGGTTTGTTATACGAATTATGCTCATTTTACAAGGAATCGAAAAATAAATTCATACATAGGGTGATCCATTGAAAAAAAATAAACTTTTTGTTTTTCCCTGTATATTGATCAATTTTTAGATTTTTTTAATATTTTTTAGTACCTACCGAACCACACTTTTAAATTCTTTGGGACACTTAAAATAAAAAAGTTAAAGGGGGGCGACATTATAGGGGATCACCCTGTACAACTATAAACCTTTATATTAGAACCTATTTATACATATGTTGGTTTATATGTATTAAGGAAGAAAATACTATTTTTTAAAGGGAAATGCAGGGTAGTTTTTAAAACTAAAAATTATTATTAAAAATAATCATTTTTTGTATGAATTAAAACTATTGTTATTTTTGTAATTTTTAAGTGTTTTGTTTACTTTTTTAAATAAATTTATTAAAACTTATTCTAGTTGATTTATTAATTATGGACCAAGAATAAAAGAAATAAATAAAAAATAAACATAAAAATGGTGATATACGCGACCTGAGAATTAGATTGTTCTATCTCCCAAAATTTAAAACTATTGTTATTTTTGTAATTTTTAAGTGTTTTGTTTACTTTTTTAAATAAATTTATTAAAACTTATTCTAGTTGATTTATTAATTATGGGCCAAGAATAAAAGAAATAAATAAAAAATAAACATCAAAATGGTGATATACGCGACCTGAGAATTAGATTGTTCTATCTCCCAAAATTTAAAGAGGAACAAATAGCAGTTTAAAGTTTAATTTATATACAAATGAAATTTTAAAAAGCTGTTTTTGCGTGTTTAGGTTTTGGGAAATTCTATCTTTTATTATTTATTTATTTTGATATCTACAGTGTGACCCATTTGTTTGCGACTCACCCCTGTAATATCTTCATTTATTGTGCGATTTTAACCGGATTTGTTTTAAAGTGTAGATTTTGATAAACTGTATTTTTGTAGCAAAAAACGCCATATTTGTACAAAATACAAGGCCTACTACTATGCCAGTTTTTAAGAGTAAATTTTTAAGAATTCATATTAGCAATTTTTTAAACAAAATCTAAGCATGGCACTGGATTCACCACCCCTTCAAACGACCCTATACTAAATTGTATTGAAATTTTTTTAGTAGAAAAATGCACAAAAATAACTACCTACATAAATTTATTCTGTCAAATTATCCATGAAAAAAACATTAAAATAAAATTAAACTAATGGTAACATGGTACTATTACTATAAGTTTAATTTTATTTCATGGCTAACTTGAAAATGTTCAATAAAATTTAGTAAAGGGTTATTTTGAGGGGTGGTGAATCCAGTGCCATGCTTAGATTTTGTTTTAAAAAATCGCTAATATGAATTCTTAAAAATTAACTCTTAAAAACTGACATAGTAGGCCTTGTATTTTGTACCAATATAGCATTTTTTGCTCCAAAAATACAGTTTATCAAGATAATAAAGATTTTAGAGGGGTGAGTCGCAAACAAATGGGTCACACTGTATATAAATATCATGAAATTTTTTATTAATAAAATAGTGAAATTTACCTTCTTTTTGTTTGTTAAATCTTTCTTGATCGTATCTGTTATACACTGATGGCTGTGCTGGGGCAGGTCTAACTGTGGTTTCCCTTGGTGTTACAATCGGTGCCTGTTGTGGAGGCCTTTGCCTTCCTTCCTCCCTAGCTTTTATACTGTGCAACATGGCTAAAATATTTTTGGCAAAAGTTTTGCCACTTGACTGCAAAATTGTTGTTCTAGTTCTCCACTGTCTTTCCCTACTAATAATATCCTTGGTTATATCAACATCCAAATCCAAAATCGCCCTGATATCATATTCCTGGCCAATATCATCATTTCCTTTGATTGTAGTTCTTTTTTTGGCCAAACGTTTTGCTTTGATTGCCGCAATTTTTTCTACAGACATAGCTTCAGATAAAGATTTAATGTTGTCCACTGTGACAGATGCTTCTTTTGGAGCATCCAGCCTAGCAGTGAACTTTTCTCTAACTTTTTGTACATGTGTATCTTCGAAACGAGGTTTCTTGGCAATACTTTCTGGGCCATCATAATCAGCAGATCTTTTTACCTTAAAATTTAAAAAATTTAAAGTTTTAATATTAATCTTATTTAGATAAAAATGGTTTATTTAAAATAAATAAAAAATGTCTTGAGGTGTTACACCTCAGTCCAGTAAGTACTAGTGGCATTTTTGGCACACTTTGTTATGTAAAATGTTTTAAAAAGTCTCTGTATGGATTTATTTTATAGAGAATTATGTTTGGGCAATGTTTTTTTTTACTTTTACAAGTTAAATACAAAAATATTTTTAAGTTTGAAAAAAACTTTACCAAATTGATAAAAACAGTTAAGAGCAAATATTATTTTTCTTGTTTATATCAATATTTTTTAACAAAAAACTTCACAACAAACATTAATTATAAAATTAATATTGTACCTGTGTTGGAAGTTCTAAAGGAGCACTTTTATCAATAGCAGGGCAACTAGCACTCTCTCCATTCAAATAGGTCAACAATTCCTTTCGATCAGGTCTTCTCACTACTGGAATATTTTCTTTGGCTGCTTGTCTTACGTACACAGGATGCGTTAAGGAGACATTCTTTAAAATAAACAATAAACATTCTAATGAATAATATTCTTTGGGGTTTCCGTCTTTTCCAGCACTGAAATTCGAGTTGAGGTTAAGTTGTGACAGATGGAAAATAATTTACGATACAACTTACCCCCACATCAAATAATTCGTTTTAACATTTTTTGGCCACGAAAATTCACCAAAAATGATCTGACCATCTCGTTCTGTTATTTCTTTCTTGCTAACATTATATTGACGTAATAAACTTAACGGGTCCGCCATTTTTGTTTACTAAATGAACGCCAATTTTTAGTTTTGTTAGGTTGGTATTTTTAAGCTTCTTGTCAAAGAACACTTGCTTATTGTCAGGGTTGCCAATCTGTGTCATAGTCAATGTTGTTACAATTGGTACAATTGTACCAAATTCGGTACATTTGAGAATTATCTGGTACAATGGTACCACAATGGCAAATTTGGTACAATTTTTAAAAATTGTTTTTTTTATTTTTGTTTTTTCAATTTATTTTTCATTTTTGTGCCAGCGCCATCTCTTTAGTCTTATTGACACTTAAAGTGTATTTAACCACTACATCGCCGACAGTTGGCAGCAGTGGTTTATGGTTGGCAGCCAGGGCTGCCAATTTGTGAGTAATTACTCACATTTGTGAGTATTTTTATGGTTTGTGAGTAATTTTGTGAGTAATGTGCAATTGTGAGTAAAATGTGAGTAATCGAGGATCAACTTTTAATTTCTGTACCTCCGTCTGTATACAGAAATTATTATTTATTTATATTTCTAATAAGGTAAATTTTTTTGAAACTTTAATGTTCCAAAACATTATAATATACCTCCCACTTTGATTATTATTAAAAAAGCATTTTTATCTAGGTCTATGTGTTTTTTTAACCTGTCTACAGAGATCCATAGAGTTTCATTTTGTATCAAGTTTTTTACCCACTAAAAAAAATACTGTTTTAAAGAGTTGCAGGTGTAGCGCTAAATTTGGAAATTTCGCGCTGGCGCTTAAATGTAGCGTTTTTTTCACATTGTGATATTTTTTTAAATTTGGCGCATTTATTATCGCTGTGAGAATTTTAGAAGCAAAAGCGGCATCAGTCATCAGTGACGTCACCAGGTATTATCAAATATACCATTTTTATTTATACCATTTTAAATATTTATAAAAAAAATCAACCTCAGTATTGTCATTTTGAAGTTGTGAGAAATTTGTGAGTAATCTTAAAAAGTTCTGAGAGTAAATCAATGAAGGTCGGTTGGCAGCCCTGTTGGCAGCAGTTTTTCGCTGACAGTTGCCATACATAATGTATAATACATGTGGGGCATTCCACGTTACTCGGTAATTTTTGTCCCGCCCGTCACAATTAAAAATTGTGAGTAATAACCACAAGTTATAAAATAAATATTTTATAATATTATTTTTATTGTGCTTATAACTTATTAAAAGCATAATAAAACAATATTTTTAAATAAATTTTATAACTTGTAGTTTTTACTCACAATTTTTAATTGTGACGGGTGGGACAAAAATCCCCGAGTAACGTGGAATGACCCATGTGTTTGTTATTAACCTCATTGTTGCAATTTGCAAACTTGGCAGCAAATTTTATAAATAATAATCATAATGGACAGGTAAGTTGATTAAAAATGGGATTAGCACTCATAAGACCATGTTTTTTCTTTTTTAAAAAGGTTTTTCTTTAAAATTTATATATTTTTAAATAAATATGCATTTTTTAATAAATTTTAAAATTTGTATTTCCCGCCATTTTGAACAATTTTTAATGTTGGTACAATGTGGTACAATAATTCCCTAGAAACTGGTACAAATATTTTTTTACTTGTAACAACACTGGTCATCAAGATACATACACCTTAAGATAGGATGGTGCGCATGTTGGGCGGGGCTTAATGACGTCACTTGATGAGTGTTTTTAAATCTTTAACGTGCTTTTTAATTATCTACTGCTAAAATTCTTGTTTTTGCGATGCTTTTGGATGTTAACTTGCTCTACTTTTTGTTTAACTTGTCGTTTTTGTGTTCGGTAAGGTTCGAATTACTTTTCAGCGTTCAAATTATTGTTATTACGTTAGGTTATTCTGTTAGGTTTGTTTATTATTGTTTTTGTGTTGCGTTAACTTGTTTTGTTTGTGTTTTAGATTGTATAGTGCCATATGCATTTATTAAAATGCGGTGTGGCATATTTGTATGCAATTCGGACAACCATTCCAAGAAAAACCCTTTAAATAAAAACATTAAATTTAATCAATTCCCGAAAAACTTTGATTTGTGGAAACAGTGTTTAAATGCCACAAAAATAATAGACAATATTTACGTTAAGGCCGCTTCTGTTTCCTATAAACATTTTCTGGACAGTGGCTATAAGTTTAATTTAAAACACCAACGCTTAAACTACAGCCCTAAATGTTATTAAGGACTGAAAGCATTTATTATCCATATTATAACACTTTCTTCAATATTAAGTTTAATAAAAACGCACTATGTCCAGAAATTTCTCTATTTTATTTGATAATATTACTTATTCGTGTATTCGCACGGCAACTACTCATCAAGTGACGTCATGCGCGAGACGAACCAAAACTCGTACACGGGAGCATCCAGCCCTGCTGGTCATAGTCACAATCAGCGTTGCCAGTGCCAGTGCTTTTGTACTGAAATCAGTACTTTTTAAGGTCTGTCAGTATGTCAGTGCTACTTTTATAGTTTTAGTACGTTTTGCGAAATTTCTTACCCAATCAAAAAAAGTTAAAACCTAAACAAATATGCATAGGTATAATAAAGAAAAAAACTACTTTTTTTAATAAATTCTCTAATCTCAAACTAAAAAATAGGTATCATGATTCCTATAGGAATGTATACATCTTAAAAATTAACGTAAATTAAAATAATCTCGTCAATTAGTGAGTAAAGGCCCATATTACACTGCACCGTTTTTTGACATGTTCTTTAGAGACAAATTTTTTATACAAAGTACATTCTCAATTAATTTTGTATTAACATTTTAAATCTAGCCGTTAAAGTGGTATGTAAAGTGTACCAACCACTTTAACAGCTAGATTGACTCACAATCTACACAATGGGGTAGTTAAATTTTTTCTGACCTATAGGTATATATACTTTTTATGGTTTTGATCAAGGCGTTTTGTAATATTAAACATTTCTGTGAAATCAGAATTTCAATTGAGTTTACCGTTTTCGAGATATTTACAAAAAATATAAATTTTTATGACGTCACAAACCTCGCCATGTGACCAACATTCTAAGATTTCTATTGGTTGAAAATTACCCTGTTGTCAAGTTGTCTTGTTAATGATTTCATTCGGTTATGTCAGAAAATACCCGAAGAGGTTATGTACAAATACTGTCAGTGACAGTCTGTCACTGTCAGTTGAGTGAAAGATGGTCACCAAATTCATTAAGTACCTATCTTCCTTATTACTAGGTATCATATTACTGTTTGATATTTTAGAGTCCAAGATATATCTAAAAGAATATGAAGAACTAGGCATTATACTAATGAAATGCATTTACGACAAAATATGATTATAATTATAGGTACTTACTTTATTTGTTTAAAAGCTCCAATGTTCAATGTAACCAACCATTCCACAAGATTCCTCTGCTTTGGAGTCCATTATTAATAAATCACTTATCTAATATCAATTACAAATAACATAACAATAACATTGATTTTCAATAATCCAAATTTAAAAAAAACATAACCCGAAAAAAAGAAACGTCAAAAAATCAATTCTTCTTCTTCTCAACACTCAAAACTAAAATATTATAACGTGGCGCCATCTATCGTAAGAATCTTAAACTAAACACACTGGCAACCATAGAAAAAGCTGGCAACGTTGTCAATAGCCTAGTGACGTAATTAGGAGATTTTTTTTTGTAAATATCTCGAAAACGGTAAACTCAATTGAAATTCCGATTTCACAGAAATGTTTAAAATTACATAACGCCTTGAATAAAACCATAAAAGGTATAGGTCAAGAAAAAATTTAACTACCCCATTGTGGATTGACTAAGCCAAAAAAATAAAAAGCGATCACGGAGCAAATTTACCATGGTAAAACCTTAATTCCGAGATATTGAGATTGACTGTTAAATATTTTTGAATAATAAAACTTTGTAAAATTATATTAATTTACAGTATTTTCTTCGCAAAGGAAGAACCACACTAGATTCTGAGCCAGTTAAAATTTTAGAAAATACTCATTTTGGATAAGAGGTATTTGTAGATATGGGGCCGTCCATAAATGATGTCGCACACTTAGGTGGGAATGACTATGAACTTCATATTATGTTAATTTGTCGTTAATAAGTTGTGAAAAAATTAATTTTGTCGTTCGAATATTTCTTTGTTTTTACGGGTGCTTTACTAACTTCATATGAAGTTAGCAAGGCACCCCGGGTCCCTTAAATATCTGATAAAAAAAAATTTAATAGTTAATATTTTGCCGTTAATTTGTCGCTAATTAGTTATGAATAAATTAATTTTGTCGTTCGCATATTTCTTTGTTTTTATGGGTGCTTTGTTAACTTCATATGAAGTTAGCAAGGCAGCACCCTTAAATTCGTGATAATCTTTTTTTTTAATTGTTAATATTTTGCCGTTAATTTGTCGCTAATTACCTAGTTGTGAATAAATTAATTTTGTCGTTTAATAATTTTTTTTTTGGCTGCTTTGCTAACTTCATATGAAGTTAGCAAGGCACACCCCCTTAAATATCTGATAAAAAAAAATCTAATAGTTAATATTTTGCCGTTAATTTGTCGCTAATTAGTTATGAATAAATTAAATTTGTCGTTCGCATATTTCTTTGTTTTTATGGGTATTTTGTTAACTTCATATGAAGTTAGCAAGGCAGCCCCCTTAAATATGTGATAATGTATTTTTTTAATTGTTAATATTTTGCCGTTAATTTGTCGCTAATTAGGTAGTTGTAAATAAATTAATTTTGTCGTTTGATAATTTTTTGTTTTTTTCGGCTGCTTTGCTAACTTCATATAAAGTTAGCAAGGCAGAACCCCTCAAATATCTGATAAAAAAAATTTAATAGTTATAATATTTTGCCGTTAATTTGTCGCTAATTAGTTGTGAATAAATTAATTTTGTCGTTCGCATATTTCTTTGTTTTTATGGGTGCTTTGTTAACTTCATATGAAGTTAGCAAGGCAGCCCCCTTAAATATGTAATAATATATTTTTTTAATTGTTAATATTTTTCCCTTAATTTGTCGCTAATTAGTTGTGAATA